TCACCATCAGCCAGCTGCAGCCCCGTTACCTGAGCACAGCCACGACAGGCTCTGTGAGGCCAGGGATGATAAAGCTTTTCAGACAATGAAAGCCTGATACACGTCTACGGTTGTCATGAGGATTTCAAACGCTAATTGGGACATCTGGTACACGTTAAACTTTAAAGCAAGGGGCATACAGCTCAGTACAGAGGCATGAACACTCAGTCTTAAAATCCCAAACTCAGTAGCACCAAGGGGCAGGAGTGTGCTATTTGGGAAGTGCAGATTAGGATTAGCTAGTTGCTGTAAGGTGTCTGTCTAAATATGTGAAGTCCAAGCATATCTTTGATTAAAAAAAACCCAACACCTAAATTGGGAGGGCTGCCACAGCTGGATTATTAAATTGCCTGTCACAGGTTCTACAAAGTTAAATTAAGGCTCACCAAGCACTAACGTGGTAGATAATTCATCTAAAACAAAGGTGATTGTCAGACTGATCTTGGAATCCATGGATCTGCAGGAGTTAAACACCATGCCTTCCCTCCCTGTCAGTCCCCTTCCACAACCCATTAGCACTCCTTCCCAGTTAGTCTTGCTGTTATTAATAACCAATGTATTGCTCTGAAAGTGATTGATTATTGGACAGGGTGACAGCTATCTTCCAACAGAAAACAGCTAGTCTTGAACCTGAATCAACTGTGACTAGCTCAGAGCTATAACCTAAATCCAGTATGCAAGACTGGAAGTGCTTGATGCCATCCCAAGGCAGATAACAATTGAGGACATGGCACCTCCAAGGGGACAGATGTACAGTCAAGTAGAAGAAAGGATCCACACCTCAGACCAAAGGAGAGCACAGTATTAGAAAAAGGGACATCTTTTCCAGAAGCAAAATAGTTTGTCTGACACTTCTGTATTTCTAGTCATCAGCTCTGTATCTGGTAGTGGTTTTACTGAGGAACTTGAACTGAGAAGAGCAGTCTGCTTTTGTCAGTGAAAACACTTTTGCAGGTGAACAGTATTATTACTTAACCTCTCTCCATGCATGTTTAGACACTATGCACCTACCAGTAACAGTGGAAATGGTTTGGTATATCACTTATGTTCTTCATGTTCTAGTGAAGAGAGGACACACTCAGAAATCACACAAAAGAACTACTCTGTTGCCAGGGGAAGCATTGTCCTTCTCTGCAATATGCATTAACACCAACATAACAATATAAACATATTTAACAAAATGAAACAAGCAAAAAATGCAGTGCAACATAGAAGAGACACACAGTAGAAGAATGTGGGGGTCACGAGAATGTTTTCCTCCCACTCCTCTTCACTGGGAATGCCTGTTCTAACGTCAGCCTGCTTTGCTAGTGCTTTGAGGAATCCTCTTCTCTGAGACATCCCGGAGAGAGCATACATTCACAAAAAGAAACCTTCAAGAGCACATATAGAAAATGAACGTTAAAAATGAAAGAGGAAAAATCAAGACATAATGACTCTTTCACATTATAAGCCTTACACTAAGATTTTAAGAAAGTTGCTTGGCCCACAAATAGGACCTACCTCTTCCATTTAAGGCCTACCAATCAAATCTGTCATAATTCACTACTGCCTTAGGACTACATCATCATTCATGCTCCTTTTTAAGGGATCTTTCTTCAGTGGAACAAGGTAAGACGTATGATTGCATCTACTAAATTACCATTACGCTAGTCACAGGTTGAAGAGTTGGGTTTTCTTTTACCAATTCCTGAACACACAAGTCTTCCAAATAATTTGAAAATAGCCACACTGCTTACAGCAATCAAAACATGAAGCAAAATAATTAAAAAAATGAGATAGTCTGTGTTTTCTCAAAAAATCTGAGACAGCTAGGAGAAAGACATTCATCTCAGTGGTTGCACCAAGGAAGACTAATGCAGAAATGGATTTGTATTTTCCTTTTTAAACAAATAAACACAGAAACAAAGAAGTACATACAAATAGCCAAAGAAATATTACAGATGAGAAGGACTTCCCCCATCCTCTTCTCACAGTGTAAAACAGTCCTTTCCATGTAACAGCTAAGTCAAAAACATATGCCACTGAAAATGGAACTTCATGGACAAATTCATGACAGGATGAGGCGAGACTTGCTCAGTATCTTCAGGATGAGTGATTTGCTGTGAGGGTGTAATACAACCCACAGCTCCACGGTGATGTTTTGTAAACAATAAAACTAATGTTTCCTTCTGTGCCTTGTGGTTGCCTACAGGAGCTGCTTTTCTACCCTGCCAACAGAACATTTCACTAATTCAGAGAGCAGCACTGCTGAAGAGGCAGAGGTTGTTCTCTGCTGCTGACAAGACCTATATGTGTTTCTGAAGTCATTGCTAATAAATTCTGGATGCACTGCTTCCCAATTCTAAAACCCTTTATGCAAAGCCTGAAGAGGGAACAAATCAAAGATACTGTATGAAAAAAGCCCTGGAATTCTGGAAGATTTCATCTTCTCCATTCTTATCTAACAGAAAACAAGTAACATAACAGAGCAAGCTGATGGCCAGTAGCTCAGCTTACAATGCATTTACACACTTAAGGCTGATGGTTCATAACCTGCCCTTCGTCACCTTTACTGCCAGAGGCCTGGATGACTCTACGGCTGCCATATGAAATTCGAGAGGAAAACCCATGCTGGCACTTTTCCCGATATACCTCTCCCCTGCCTGCTGGTGGGGATGGCCAAGTTCTCAAATAGCTCAGGCCATTCCCTCTGCTGCCTAAAATAAGGAAAGGCAATGTACACAAATGCATCACTCAGTAAGGAAAGGGCAGCGATACATATAAACTATTATGTTACACCGAGCAGGTCACAAGCAATCTTGGAAGCCTAGGTTTTGTATGTCAGCCATCTAGCATAGCAGCAGCATCCCAGTTTTGTTTTAGAGATCTAGCTTCTGTACATTCATTTAAAAAATAAGGTCCTTATTACAAATGCTGCTAGTTCTCAGCTCCAGCCTCTTCACAAGGTCTCTCCTTCCAGACATCCAGCCCACTCCTGCAGCAGTCATCAACCAAACACCATTAGTTTGGTTCTGGGCAGCACACAGGCAAACAAGTCTGCAGTATCAGTGGTTAGATAATGTAGTAGTAGCTTCCATTGAAGTCAGAATACTCCTCAGAGTCCGCACTCTCAAAACCACTCATCCACAAGACGGAGTAGATAGAAGAAATGATACTGCTGTCATTGTCTGTGGCTGGTTTCACCAACACATTCTGTTTCTCTGCATTCAAAACACACAGATACAAAAGTTAGCCATGACCACTGTACCCACAACCACTAGGTTACTAGTTCTTTGAAACTTACAGACGCTTACTGTCAGGTTGCAAGGTGTGTATCAAGCTGCAGGGAGTAGGCCTTTTTGTTTTCAATTTTCAGAATTTAAAGAACAAAGAAGTTTCCTGGATGCCCTTTCCTTCTAATATAGCACAGATGAGAAAAAGACATTCTCTGTTTCTTCACAGGCACACAATTGGCAACAGAAGCAGCTAACTATTACAGTGCTTTGCCAGGTAAGAAAAAAGGAAAGAACAAAACAGGTAATGGTTGTGCAGGACACAGCCCTAACAAAACCTCCACACATTTAAGAGCGCAAGTTGTCCTACTGGTGCCCATTTTATCTTGGAAAGGCTTCTTGGGAAGCTCTGACTGAGCTTCTCAAATGGCACTTGCATCATAATTTCTCTTTCAGGTAGTTTCTTTTGAGGAACTAATGTCCAAATAGACACATGGTTATCTTCACCTCAGTTAAAATGTTTCCATCACTGAACAAAAAGACTGCACAGACTGCACCCTTCCTCCTGAAGTGTGTCATCATGAAGCTAAATGATTTCCTACTATCAGTCATTTTTATTAGAGCATCTGTCACCTATGAAGGTAGGCTACGAGCTTACTTCCTTTTTGCTCAAACAAGGGTGTAGACTACTGGTTTCCCACACAGAAATGAAGTGGGCTCCAGTGAAGGCACCACTTCATCTAATCACCATTGGCCACCTGATGAGACACTTCAGTAGTGCCAGGGGATACTCCGCAGATGCACGTATCGCCCAAAAGCAGTATCAGTTCTGCAGAGGAGAAAGCCAAGCCAGGCAGCCTCTGAGCAGTGCAGCATTTCCCAGGGGAATCAGCCTGAGTCAGTTGAAGAGGTGGTAATTCCGGGTGTGAATTAACACTGTGTAGCGATGTCCTTCTACGTCACCATGGAGAGTCCAAAATGTTTCAAAAGCACCTTTCATGAGGTAAAAGGCTTGACGTACTGCAAAATGAAGGATCATGCACTCACCTCTATGAGGGGAAAACAAGGCAATTACTCAAGGGAACACAGAAACTGAAATTTGTTAAGGGGTAGCAGGAAAAAGGCTTCTACATTTCAGCACCTAGATAACAGTATCAAGTGCTTGAGAAACAAATTTAGAATTGGGACGCAGAATAGGAATACCCCATACTGGGGTTTTACTGAAAGCCATCGTCTTGCACAGTCTTTTGGCTATAACTAGGCAAGAAGTTATGCATTTAAGCCACACTGGGTTTAGTACTACAAAAATTAACATGGCAGAGCAGCTGCCAGTTCAGCCATACGCTTACCGTGACGCATCAATGTTCCCCTCAGAGATTTCCTACACAAATCTAGCGCACAGAAGAAAATTCAGAGTTTCTCATCAGGCCCTGCTCTGCTGAGTTTTCGCAACGATGTAGTTAATAGTTTAATCAAAATGTGCCTGTTAAGTTTTTCAAGGCTCATTCTGTACAGTTTTGCTTTTATTTAGTGATATCTTTGATAAAGCATAACCTTTAGCATGGCTAAATTGGCCCCCTCGACTGTGCAATTCATACTGGAGGTTTTTTTCCAAACTTTTTATTAATTTTCATTTACAGTGTGGTAAACCTAGTTACACAACATATCTTAAAATTAACTTTCTAGTGTTTCTGCTGCCTTCCCCAAGCATCTCCTTGGTATATAGGTGCCAATGAAAGTTGTACAAAATAGATGGAATGAGAGATTGTACTCATCATGCCACATCCACCCACCTCTCACCTTTCCGCTCTCTGATAAGGGTCAGGCGATGCTCTTTCATTTCCACATCCAGTTTTTCTACCATCCTGTCAATGCAGTTATCCAGCACCAGAGAGCGTGTCTTTGATTTGATCTCCCGCCTGCAGATAGGGCATTCCACTTTACGTTTCATCCACTCGTTGATACAGTAGGAGCAGAAGCTGTGCGCACAGTTCAGAGTGACTGCCTGTGGAATTCAACACAAGGATACTTCTCTGAGCATGCTTACACAAGCGTTTGTCAAGAGAAAAAATACTGAAGTCAGAAAAACATTGTATGAACACTTCCTATAAGGGAAGGGGAGAAGCCCAAAGCCCCTTCTCTTTAGCCTTTGTAGGGGTTACACACAAAAACTTTCCCAATGCCAGAGTGCGGACAATTTTTACAAGCTGGTTAATGGAGTCACTGTAGATCACAGCAAGTCAGAAACACAGACAAAAAGAATTAATTCTCTTACAGGCTTCCCCAAACTGAAAGGAATTATGGAAAAACTCAGATACTGCAGAATAGCAGTAAATTACTAAGAAACTAGAAATTAAAATTTCAGCTAGCTCTTAAGTCATTATAACAAGGATAACACAGCCAGTTTCCTGTAGTAGAAATGAATGCAATGAAACTAAAGTTCTGGCAAAACATGAACAGAAGTAACAATCCATTCGTCAGGCACAGCACAATACTTCTAGAATCAAAGGGAAGCAGGCCAATTTCTCAGAGAAAGAGTTTATCTGAACAATATAAATGCTTCAGGCCTTGACTGAACACTGCACCTCCCTTTCTTTACTAACCTCTTCCTATATCTAAAGGAGCAGCAGTTCAAGCCTAGTCAATTTAAGGCAAGGTCCACTACAAAATTATTCTTCCCCCAGTAGGCTATTAGCAGCAGCTCAGAGCACCAGTTCAAAAACACCCAAAACTTCTGCAAGCCCATATGCGTTTTATGATTAAGCACTTATCTCTATGCAGGTAGAAATAATAAAGCTGAATTTGCTGCCCAGAAGAGTTAGGGCAGACAGAATGGATTTGTGGAGCAACCCTTACCCACAACTCACCATGAGTCTGTTTGGACTGTTAAACTAGCCAAGTGAAGAAATAAGCTTGACTATTGCTTTAATAGAACTAGGGAAAGCATCTCAAGTATTTTCTTTACTGGCACAGCTGTAACAGTTGAAATATACCTCGATAAAATGCTCCGAACAGATTGTGCACTGCAACTCATTCTCCAACACATCATTCATCTGGTTCAACACCTCTTCTTTTTGGGCTCTCACCTTTTCCTTCTCCTCCTGGTGGAAAAGTACATGTGGTCACACATCAACAAAGAGCAAGGTTTTACTCATTATAATACTGGCAGGAAGTGCAGGTACAGGGAAAGGCAATACAAGTCCATATGTCAAGTCTGTGTCTATTAAGGAGTCATATCTGTAACCTCTCTCCTCTTCTCTCCTCTTTGCAGTCACAGCAGTATTGGAAATATTCCCACCCACTGTTGAGAAGTTACAAGCAAGAACAGCAGTCATTACCAAAAGTCTCTTCAGCCTAAAGAAACTACTACCTGGATCAATCTTTTCAGAATCTCTTTCAACCTCTTCCTGACACAAGATTGGCTTAAGTCAGACCAGTTCTTTTGAGCTCTGATGTAAAGAGCAAAATGCCCAACAGACAAAATACCTCAAATATTTAAGAAAGGAAATGCAATGACATTTACCGGCAAACATTTACTGGCATTTAACTCCCCAATACTGTTTGTCTGGTATTAAACTAGGCTCCTAGGTCCCTGCTTTATCTTCTAAAAATAACAGAGAAATTCTTCCAGTTGAGGCTATACTTGAAACAGCAACAGAGTTGCAAAGATGACGTAACAAACACCACCAGAAAGCAAACAGACAGAGGTGGATAACGCGGTAAATTTTAAGGGTATGAGATGGAAGAAGATCTCCTTAATTACTTTCCACTCATCTCCTTGTGTCAAGAGCAGGAATAGAAGTGGCTTATCTCATTCGTATTTCATTTTGGTTTAGTCCTATACTTCCTTGTAGGACTGCAGGAACACTGCAGCTTTACTTGAAAGCACTTTATCTGAAAATGAAGCTGTTTGCTTCTCAAACATCCTTTTAAAAAAAAAAAAAAAAAGGGGTGTAATGAGCCCACTTCTGCACAACACACTGTTCAGGTGCTCTGGGCTTTCTTAAAGCAATGACTGTTCAAAACTAATTTACAAGCAAGGCAAGGTGTAGCCTCCCCCAGTCCCAGGAATTAAGAGCCAGCTGCCACCTCAAAATACAGTTTTTCCACTATGCGAGGCAAAGTACAGTCAAGACAAATGTTAAATGAACCATTTCCTCTGCTGAAGCATATCACATTTCTCTTATAAACGGAGAATTAAGTTATTCTTTACCTTGGTTTCTTCCAGTTCTTTATTCTTGGCTCGAATTATCTCTTCGAAATCTTTTTTACTACGGCTCAGTTCTTCCATCAAAGCACGATGCTGTAACAATACCATTCCAGAAATTATAAAAGTGCTAGTAAAAGCTATCCTAAAAAAAATACATACGCCGTAATTATTAGGTTCAACATACTCATTTCTCCTTATCTCCTCCTAAAAGACCAACACACATCTAGGTAAGTTGGGGTGTTACGGCAGTTTAGCCTTAAAATTGGAACATAGTGCCAGTTATTTATGACTCTCCCAGTGTTACAGCACTTCTCATTCGCTCAGACAGCTTACTTATTTCAGTTAGGTTTTATGGTCACCCTTCTGAGTCAAGACACGTGAATATCAAGGTGTCTTTGACACATAAGGATAACAAAAAACTGTCACTGTATGCAGGTTTACCTGAAGCTGTTCTCAGATTCGCTTTCTAAAAGGAAAAAGGCTAGGACAACTAAGAGTGTGACAATCTCTTTCAAAAACATTCCCAAACAAGAGTAAATTCCAGTTAAAGCCACGAAAACAACTACCCCAAAACAGATAACCACCAGACAGACTCATTAAAAAAAAAACAAAACAAAAAAACCCCACCAGGCCAACGACCAAATTCAAATTAAAAACAACCGTTGCAGCTAGTTAATGCTTTCAGTCCGACTAAGTGTTTTCACAGCATATATTTTTTGCTAGCCACGCAAGCAGGCCACAGTGCTCCCAACAAGAAGATTGCGATATGGCTGAAGGACTGCAGAACGCCTCTGGGAGCCTCCCTGGATGAGCAAAGCAATCCTCTATTCAAGGGCATGCCAGTGAGAAACAGATGAAGAAATGGCAAGTAGTAATTCCCACAAATCAAGGTCGGAGACCTTCTGACAGAAATTTGGTCTGTAGATGAAGATCATTCCATCTGCCCCTGAGGCAAAGTCCTCCTCTTCTACAAAGAGGCCACAAGAGTAAGAAAGATTTAAATGTCTGAGTTAACGTAGTTATACCAAACCTAAACTCCTAACTACTTGCCTCTTGCAGGACCTGGGCCAGCTGCTCCTTCAGATCCTCTTCCCCATGTTGCCACTTTACTTCCTGGAGGGGAAAGAAAAACAAACAAACAACTTGAAGAAAGCAATGGATAGAAAAATTACTACTTTGAACACTTTCTTTAGAGGATACGCTTAAAGAAACAAAACTCATTTTCAGCAAACTGAGATCTCCCACTCCAATGTTACATGTGTGTGACAGAAATTAGAGCTATCATTTGCTGTGAAGAGTTAAAATGGAAATATCATTTATAGTTACACACTTGGAACACCTCCACGTTTTTCTAACTCTAAAGGCGCCAGCATGTTCAGAGAAGCAAAGAGGTCAGAAACAGCTTAAACATGAGAAAAAGCTGCAACTCAAGTTTCTCAGCACATTCAAAGAAGTCAGATATCCCTACAGCTCCATCCGAACTTCCCACTGTGCCTCAGCACGCAACTTCCTGTATTTCTGATACAGGTATCTGGCCTTTAGCAACAGACTTTAATAATTTATCATTTACTTCCTTTAAACTCGCTACAAGATGAATTTTTATCTCCTCCAAACCAGATTTTGAGGAAACTCTGTAAATAGAAATAATTCAGTTTGTTATTTAAAACACTACTTAACATACACATAACAGCTTGAAGACCCAGATCACAAGAAAGCATGAAGAAGAAAAAAATAGAATGTCCCTCCTTCCAAAGATTGAGGCATACAATAATTCACTTGCTTGGAAAGGGAATGGATTTGCCATGCAAACTGGGCCTTAATTCAGCCATATACCAGGAGAAAAATCACACTTAAGGTGAATACTTTTCAACTTGTCCTCTCCGAAACCACAGGAGATTAAGCAGGGAATTTTTATTTTTTTTTACTTAAAACCACACTTTTTTACTAACTGAAAGGCTTTACTATCTTGCTGTAACGAACCTGTTTGTAAACCAAATTTTAAAAAATTATTTTGTGCCTTTCTCCTAGTTCCCACTGCAGCCCAATCCTTCCTGTCTCTACACTTTTTTTTTTGGTACACACACTGGGAAGCAAAATACTCCCAAGACAATTTTAACAGGAGTGATTTACACAAACGTTATTTGTGTTACTGTATGGTTAAAGCTCTTATTTTGGACCAATGTCTTATACTAGATATTCCATAAAAATTAAAAGACACGGGCTGGAAAGATTACCACCATTATACCTCTAGCTGCTGCTGCTGCTCTTTAGAGAAAGTCCTCTCCAGCTCTTCCACCTGCTGATGATGATGTTCTTGTTCCATGTACAGCTGGTCCTGCAACACCCGCAGTTCCTGCTCCATCGCCAGGATCTCCTTCTGAGCACACTTCCTGCGCGTCTGCTTCACATTCAGAACCGCTGTCTGCTTTTCCTGCACTTTGACCTTTAACTTCATTATATCTGCCAGAGTTTTCCTCAGCATTTCCAATCCAGTCCACGACTGGGTAAGACCAGAACTTTTCTGGTCCTTATGGGTGACAGATGTGGTCTTCTCGGAGTGTACAGGGCTACTAGGCACTGGACCACTATCCTCACTTGGTCCAGGAGCAGGGAGCTTGACATCCATCTTCTCTGTTAACTGTTTGGCCTCTTCTACCCTCCCCCATGATTTACTCAAAGGCTCATTACCACAGGACACTCTGTCTCTTTTGGGTCTAGAGTTCGAAGGGCCTTCTGAGCCAGATAACTCCACTTCCTCCAAACTAAATTTACGTTTAGTTCTTGAACACTTAGCTTTCCCCAGGTCACTCCTTTGGGCTAAAAAGGGTTTGATTTTCTCCCATTCCTCTTTAATTACTTCATATTCATATTCAGCAGTCTCTTTGTTTTCCAAAGGCACTCCCAACTGGATACGGTCTCCTTCAGCAATAGGATAGGCTTTTGAGGGATCCAGGCGCTGTTTGTTAAGCCAGACTCCATTTAGACTCTGCAAATGAACAGAGAATCAGCAGAACTTAATATGCAATTAGAGTCCTCTCCAAGTTATTTCTAGTAACTGTAAACATATCCAACCTCTTCAGTGCTGCAATGAGAACAAGCCACTTCTTTAAACAGAGCTTGCAATGTCCAATTTATTGGCTCATTTATTGCATTACATTATTTACCATGCATTATTCCTGCATTACAGATTTTGTGTACAAGCACTAAGAACAGCATTAATGTATGTGCTTGTGCAGAAGGAAAAGACTGAGCTCTAGGGCAAAAAAACCCACCCCGCTCCAAAGCTTCAGAAATAAGAGCTAACCAACAAAAAGAATCAAAGAAATGAAAGACTCAAAGAGTACTCAAGAACAGAGAATATTGCAGTAATTATTCTTGACAATTAATGTCACCCGAAATTCAAAAAGAAACTAGAAAACAAAAAGGAGCTTCTACTGCTTAAAGAAGAAAAGAGGCAGTTCTCCATAAATACAGGGAGAATATAAACAAGAAGGAAAATGGTCTTCTAGATATAATGTTCAAAGCAGAAAAAGGGTTTTTAAGTCAGACACTAGCTCAAGAAATAGTTATTGAAAAGAGCAAAAGTGATCTGTGCTCACGATGAACTACAGGATCATGAATAACTGACACATCTTAAAGAGACTCAATAAAACATCTTGACAAACTGGTAGCAGGGATAACGCAGAGGAAGTGTTAGTAGTTAACCTACCGTAGATGTTTCCAGTCATGCAATAACTTAAGTTTTCAAGTTTATACAAGTATTGCAACAGAGGTTTTTTTAAGAGCAGCATAATTTTAACAGTGGCCACTCCATTCCTTTCTGACTCACCTGCTGTTAACCCAAACATCTTTCAAATCAACATGACATGTTTTAACATTTTTGCTCAACCAGTGCTGCTCTAAAGCAAGTTACTGGTTTTAGAATTTTCAGCCCAAATGAGAAAGTGGAGAGACAATGCTACAAAAAACAAATTACTGAAGTCAAAGGGAGGCCTACCTGAGGACTCTTGATGGCAAATCTTCATTCTAGTCAGGTAAGGAGGACTTAGAGAAGGAACTTACTTGAACATAACAGGAAGCATTGTTATTCTAACAAGAGATTCTTGTTGTAGTTGATTACAATTAAAGCAATTGTGTCACCACATTGATGAGTATCAGCTTATCCTTTCATTAGCAGCACAAGAACATTATCCTTTAGAATACTGCCAAAATTCATCAGATTTTTCAGGAGAGTAAGAGAAAACAGGTTCAGAGACTGCAAAGTGCCTTTTGCAAGACTACAATTGTCTAAGAAGTGCTAAACCAAGAGACAAATCTACAGACAGCAATACAGTCTGCAGCCCAAATGCAGCAGACTAGAGCTTCCTGCTGCAAGCACACAACAGGCAAGACACATTCCCAAGGACCATCTATCACAGTTACACCACTTATTATATCATAAGCCTATACATTCTTGGAGGCCAAGCCAGGCATTCTCTTAATTGAATCTCAGGGTATAAGGTCTTTAATCAGCCCCTGTACCTTGTTATCCTTGACAGTCCACTGCCCTTCTGCATTTTGCTGGAAAACGCAGTGCTTACGAGAGATCATCAAGGGACAGATTTTTGACACCAGCTGGTACGTGACATCTAATCCTCGGCCCATAGTTACCTGAAAATAAAGTAGTTTAGCAACTGCAATCAGCAATGACACGGTAAATTCAATTATATGGTTTCAATTCAAGTACAGAAGAAATCTATCTCGATCTGCATCTTATATCCATTTCCAAAGAGTTCAGGATAATACTTTTTTGTGTGGTTTTGCATTTAAATTCAAGAGCAGATGGAAAACAGAAATCTACAAAGTCCAAAGTATTGTCTTTCTCTGTTAAGGAAAATATGAATGCTCTAAGGAAGGTTACAGCCTTGGTTTCATGGAAAACTGCAGTAGCAGCAAAGGAGCTCAAAGCTTCTCTCAACTCATTCATGTCCCACCTCAGTCATTACATAACTAAACATCATTTCTTCAAAACAGCATAACTGCTCATGGGTCTCAAGGTTACTTCTTACCTTCTTATTTTGCTAGTTGCATCTGTTCAGCTGCGAACAGGAAAGACGCCAAAAAAATTGCCATTAAAAAAAAAAAAAAGGCATGTGTAACCACGCCCCAAACGCACAATACTTTTCTAAGTCTCACCGTCAATCTTATGGCTCAGAAACTAAGCTCCACACAGTTCATAACCAGTAGCGAAAGTGATCCAAATAATCTGATTAGCCTCTCATAGCCTCTCATAATTTAATTGGGGACATAATTTAATCATACCATTTCACAGTATCTTATTAAATCTGATCTAATTGCAGGCTGCCATTTAAAGCATGGGTCTGCTCTCCCTCCCTTCACTGCCTCCTTTGCAAGATCTGATAATCACACACACTTTCCTAAGTCATTCATGCACAGCACAAGTTTTCAATCAGCTTATCATGTAATTAGACAACTGCATGGATCCAACATAATACAGCAGAAAAAGGAGGGCAAACATGATTCAACAGGAGCCCACAGTGAAGAAACCCAGTGAAGAATATCATAAAAGTGCACTCTGGTTTCATCCACTAGCTCAAGGCTGCCCTTTTCCCCTGCAATCCCAATAAATTTGCATCATATCTTCTAGTTCCTACAGGATCATATGGTGCAGTTAGAAAAAGTTCACGTTCTACACATTGGCCGAGAAGGTCTCACCTTGAGTTAAAGCAAGAACTCAGACCCTCACGTTACAACTAAATGCAAGGAAGCAAACTAAGATCATGGAATCATAGAATGTTCGGGGTTGGAAGGGACCTCTAGATATCATCTAGTCCAACCCCCCTGCCGGAGCAGGATCACCTAGAGCAGGCCACACAGGAATGCATCCAGGTGGGTTTTAAAAGTCTCCAGAGAAGGAGACTCCACAACCTCTCTGGGCAGCCTGTGCCAGTGCTCCATCACCCTCATGGTAAAGAAGTTTCTCGTCATGTTGAGGTGGAACTTCCTATGTTCTAACTTAAACCCATTATTATGATCGCAAAAGCAAACTTAACCACACTGGTCCCTACCTCTTACATGTTTCATATATATTTGTGTCCTGTCAACTTGGATTGCATATGTAAGTGGTACAGAGACTCAGGTGGATAAAAGACTCTGGACTTCAGGTGGATTCAGGTATAAACTCAGCTTTGCACTTGGCCCTGCAGTTCCATTTGAAATACCTAACCCATGCAAGCAATTCTCAGTGCCTGGTCGCACACATCTGCGTGGCCTCATGCACTAAAATAAGCGAGACCAAACAGGAGGTGACTCATGAAACCTCCCCTTGATCAAGTCCATTGAGCAGACCACGGCAGGGGGGCAGAGATGTTACCACTGGCCTGCTGGAGTCTGCAGCTGGCCACAGCAGTACTGGCAGACCACAGCACATCCCCACACCTCAGCAGCGCAGTCTGGCACCGACATTCAAATCCCCAGTGAAAGCAGTTTGTGCTAACAGGCCAGCCTGTGGCCTAGTAAGCCTGCAGTACCAGGATGCCGTCAGTGCCACTGTTGCCTGTGAGTAGGACTGTAGTGCTCTGATTGTCTGCACAGCACTAACACCTTGAACAAGATTCTCTGCACAATTAACAGAGCCCTGCCCGACTTTGACCACCAGAATGGCAATCCTCCTGCAGCACCCCAGCCTCAACACACATCTTTGTCTGCTTTAGGATCCATGCGGGCTTCTCAGTGGAAAAACAAACAAACAAACAACCTAACCGCATTACGTACTGCTGACCTCGCCAAAGCATCACCCTGTTAACTAGGGTAATGATTTTCTCCCCCTCCGTTACGTTACTGTGTCACAAGAACAGCTCCTACCTAAACACGAGATCGCGTTAGCACCGGTTAAGGGCCGAACCCTCGGCAAACCAGCTTCGAACGCCCGCTCTCCGCCCTCTCGCACGTTACCGGGGCTGAGACGCG